ATTCTGGTGTAATCCGGTGGAGTATCGGCCTTTAACCGTGGACCCAACGTTTGATTTTGGTCCATACAATGTCACACCGATCTCATACCAGCATCTCATAGTTCTTCGCAGGGAAGATGGCAAACACCCAACAATGATTGGCACAGTGCTTCTACACGAAAAGAAGACACAATCCACGTATTCGCTCTTTGGTGGGACCCTGAAGTCTCTTGAAACTGAAGAATCTAATGGCTTTCGGGAAAGATGACGAAAAGGCGTTGGGTTTTAACGAAACCTACGAAAGAGCTAATCATCTGCTTTGCGAAATCCACCTTCACAAAAATATAGACACAAACTTTGTGTCTATGGACATTAAAGGAGAGAGTAAGCAGAGTATAAAGGATAATATTTTTGGAAGAAAGATAGGCAGCATTTTTGAGAGTGGACTGTCAGAAGCAGGAAGTGCAGAACAATTTATTGGCCTATTTGAAAGTCAGGAGGAAAAGTGATCATCGCTCCACTCAAATGGAAAAGCCTTCCACGCTTGGTTTGGCTCGAAAAAAACCGAAGGATTCATACGCAGCGTTATTAGTCCCGTCCATCAGAGAGCTGGCCTCGGTTGCCCACCAGACAAATTCACAACCAATCGATCTGAACGCAAAAACGGTGTCCTTCAGGACTGCGTAAAGGGTGAACTCGGAACTGCCAAAATTGACGAATACACCCTAGTAAAAACCCTTGAGAAATTAGTGAATAGCCTGGGGCAAGAACTGGAGTTGGCTGTATTGGATAAAGGAGAGTACCAACTTCGTCCAGAGTTCCGCCACCTAGTTGTCACAGGCGACAAATGGGCCAAGATGACAAACGACCAGAGAAAAGAAGCCCTCTCGCGCGTTCACCACCTTGGTCTTCAAGAAACTTCTCGTAACAGTGTAGCCTCTGTGAACAAAAAGTTAGTGGAAGGCGAGTCTGCTGTTTTCCAGCAGATTCTTTCTGCTGAGGTAGACTCGATTACCACAGACATTTTATAGCTCATTGCGCACAAAGGAGAAGCATTGTTAAAGGAAGGAAAAGTAACAGAGTTACTGGCAGCCTCAGCATACGACACCTTCATCATTCCCTCAAAATCAAAGCCCACGAAGCCGCATATCATCTTCGTGTACCCTAACGGAAAGGTAGCCTGTAAGGACTGCCAAGGGTACTCCGCGTCCTATTTGCGTGCTCATACTGTCGCTGCGTCATTAAAAAGAGGAACCCTTGAGGCATATTTGAAGTGGCTGGTGGCTAACAAGCGTAAGACTGGTAGGCTTAACTACAGCTAAGCCATCACCTTTGGAATGCCAGCTGGAAGAGGCAGGAAGGTAGAACTACAGATATAATCCTCCTCATATATATTCCTCCTGACGTTCTGAGCGAAATTAAAGAATTTCGAGCCTAAATCACAAAAATTTGGAGCTGCATGCACTGTTCAAGAACTTGCTGCTACAAAGAAAGATAACCAAGCCTCAGCATGAGTTACATGCCACCAGAGTTCGCTGCCTCGAGCCACAGAAGGAATTAATAGGTACTCGAGAGGAAAGAGATTCGCTCAAACGAGCACTCCAAATAGTTTCCAAAGAATCGTATCAAAACCCATCGGTCACACGACCTCATAACAACCGTGTCGATACGGGGCCCTAGGATGATTCTATTCTGCCTTCGACAGACACAAAGGTTAATAGGAGACGTTCGCAAGCGTAAACTTCGTCAGCAAGCCAACCAGATACTGCACGAACAAATAAAAATACAGATGATGGAGCCGGGACTACACAACGCAAGCAAAGAGAAGTTTTCATATTAGAAGACTCCATCTTGAAGAATCTACAAGGGGGTAAAATATCCGGTACTGCTAAAGTAAAAATTTCTTCATTTCCAGGTTTTTCTATGCAGGACATGAGAGACCATATTAAATCTATATCACGGAAAAACCCGAACGAAATTGTAATCCATGTTGGCACTAACAGTCTTCGACCTTCAGAGACTTCCCTGCGTGATTGTGGTGCGGAAATTAGTAATTTAACCCACATGATAAACGAAGAATCTTCAGCTGAACTGACGACATCAGACCTTTTTACAAGATCTGACAACGAGAATCAGGCGTTAAAGTATCTAGCTTAGACAAGATACTAAGAAAATTCTGCAACCAGAATTTCTGGGGATATGTCGACCATTCAAATATCTCTGTCGATCACGACCTGAATAGAAGTGGTCTCCTCTTGAACACCAGAGGACTGCTCGTCTGGCGTCAAACTTTATTAAGTATTTAAGAGGAGATTAGAATATTGTCGAGTGGGAATCTAATGAGTGTATGCCTTCCAGGGAGTCCTGCGGCAGTAAGGGTAAACCATCGAAACCGGAATTTAATGCATTTGGTCGCGGTTTTGTCATGGCATCAATTATTATAAATAGTTTACTCGCCCATATTGACGACCTTAAGATATTTATGAGTAGTTCAAAACTCGATGTATTAGCGATCAATGAGACCGAGCTTGATAGTTACATCAGTGATTCAGAAATAAATCTACCGGTATTTGACGTCGCTAGAAGGGACCGTACCGTGAACAGGAGATGTAATGGCGGTGCATGTGTTTATTTACGAAACAACATAAATTACCGTGTTTGGGAGGCCTTCAAAGATGACCAACTTGAAAGTTTTGTCATCGAAATCACCAGACCGCATTCCAGGCCTTTTTTAATAAGCATATGCATGGTATAGACCGCCAAGCTCCCAAAAAGAAATTGTTAAACGATTTGAAAACCCGGTAGATAAAATTGATTTAGAACGCAAGGATTTCTACCTTCTCGGAGGCCTGAATTGTGACATGTTGCATGATCGGTCAAACAACCATACTTCGTCGCATTTAACGAACATATTTGATATTTACGGATTGTGTCAAATGATTTCTGAACCAACCAGGATTACACCGATATCACGAACACTGATTGGTCTTGGTTCATCTTGGTATTAGCAATCATTCATTTGTGTTCATGACGATAAAAACACGCTATGAACGTGTTGATTCGTACTGCTCTGTTGAAACTCGCATTTTTAAGAATTTTAACACCGACAAGTTTTGATATGACTTCGTGTAATAACTTTGGTATTTAATTAGCATGTTGACGAAATTTGTAGAGAGGTATCTTCCGCAATAGGTTTTTTTAGACGTATCAGGCCTCTAACTTCCGAATCTACTGCCATACCAGTTAACAACAACCTGATCCAACCTCACTTTGATCACTGTACCTTCGTTTGGGACATGTTAAGTACTCAGTTAAGCAATTAACTACAAAAATTACAGAACCGAGAAGCCAGAGCAATTTTAAAGGCCGATTACGATACTAGCAAAAACCTGCTTCTCGAAATACTTAATTGGGACAGACTAGAAATAAGGACAAAGAAACAAAAGACGATAATGATGTTTAAATCCTCAAACGCCAAGCTCCAATGAACTTGCGGGACCTATTTAACGAGCGAAGCACAAACTATGATTTGCATAACTCTTTTGGTAAACTGACGCAGCCAAGGCCACGTATTAATAACTTAAAACGCAGTTTTAGTTACAGTGGTTCTCTTATGTGAACTCATCACCTGAGAAAGTTAGAGAAATCAGATCAATAGGTGAATTTAAAAAGCGAATTAACTGTGTATTTGAGTCATTGGGATTCTCACTCGGCAATCTTGTACAGTATTTTGATAGTTTTAACCAATGTAATTTTGTAAATAGATAGATCTGGACGCTACTGTTTTTACTGAAGATTTTTTATCGAGTGTAAATAAAGATATTACCATTACTACCGTATCCGTTGCTTCTTCTTCTTTGGCTCTGCCTTGATCCAGCTTTTCTAAAGCAGACCTCTTCACCGGTTGAACCTTCCTCTGTTTCTCTTTATTCCACAAAAATATCGAAGGAACTGCATTTGCCTTCGATCGTTTTTTACTGGAGTGTCGATTAATAAAATCATCCAAAGTAAAGTGTTCGCTGCAGATTTTGATATGGCGATTGCCTTTGAAAGATCGCGATCTCTTTTCATTTCCGTGATTCAAACAAGGGAGAAGACTTTTAGAATTTGACGGCAGTCCATGAAACGAGAGACCCTCTCTCTCTACGGCATCAAAATAAGATTTTATTAAAGAGGAACTTACCTCCACAATGTTTTAGATTTTATCTTTGTTCATTAAATTGCTCATGTCTAGAATAATCTCTCCTTTAATATTCGCTCTATATTCAAATATAGAGTAGTTAACCTTTTAATACACCCGCAACTAGCTTACATGTATGCGTAAAATTCAACTGCTAGTGGCTAGTTTTATGTGGCTGAATTATTCTTATGTAGGTTAGGGTCGCAAGCAATGTTTCTTATCTTCTCATTCCTTATCCTTTAGGGAACTTTATTAAAAACATTTTGGGTTGGTTGCGATGTGCCATTATTGTTATTACTATTACTCATTATCAATTTTAATTAACCTTGTTGTCTCTCTTCTATTTCAATGTAACAGTAAAACTAATTGCTGCTTTGCAAAGAAGACGAACAGCTAAAATCCTTATGACAATTGTGGAAGCAATTTTCTCCCCTCCCCCCTCCCCGGTCAACGTTGATGAAAAAACATTTGGAGGGTACCGGCATGTTTCAGCTTTCAGCAAAACATTACAAGGGTTGAAAATTCACCACATTGAAATTTAAAGTTTTGTTTCCTCGATGTCACATTCGTCCATCTCAAACCATCTTAGCTACAGGACTTGACTGACTTTTTCTGATTATCACGTAGCAAAGACTAATCAAATTATTTCCTATACTAGCATAAAATCCATAAAAATTAAGCTTCCTTTTCCATGTGAGTAGAGTAGCTCTTGCACATCTGTAAATACTACAAAAGTGAGCCAAGTGATTAAATAGTTAGACAAACGACTCTAATGATTGTTTCTTAGGTGTAGTCCAGTAGACTCTTGTGAACGGGGCTAAGTTCCAACCAGCTGTCGAGTTCATATTGAGTTCATATTGGGTTCTGATTGGCCATGTGGTTCTTTCAGTAAGAGTGCCAGAGCTCTGCGGAACCTGTTGAAATATAAGTGAACAAACTGTTTCCTTCGTTGGATTATAAGCCCCTACTACTGTACGTTATCAGTTTAGAAGTTGAAGGATATACTACACGAAAAAAGCAGGAACAAGGGGAAGAATTTCTCTTTATCAGATTCAATCAAGGTTTGCTTAAAGCTTTTTAAGGCTGAAGATTTCAAGACCACTCTTTAAACCAGGCGTAGGGCCTGGAAATTGAAGGCACTGGAAATTGAAGGCACTTCTCCCGCTTTTAAAGACGCCACATGCGTTAGAGTAGTCTTGAAATCTTCAGCCATAAAATGCCTTGAGAAAATCTTGGTTGAATTTAATATAGAGAAATTCTTCCCCAAACCCCTTCTTATCGGGTGAATCCACTGTTTTCTCAGGTTTTCTTCGGTTGGAAATCGGAAGTAAGAAATATTGGCATCAGTTACTTCGACTCGACATTCCTTCTTCGTACACAGAGGAACACAGCAACGTGTTGGCATTTCTGAGTTGTTTTTCACAAGAGAAGACTAGTCATGAGGTTTCAAAATTCCAAGACTTTCCTATAGTCTCCCGGATATTCTACCATAAACGATAATAAACTAAAGAAGGCCAATATTTTGGGTTTGAATTACCGTAAAAAGCAACTCGATAATTAAATAAAGTTGCCCTTTCGTTGAGTGGCCTTTCGGACCTAGTTTTCTTGTATTCAAAACCAGGCCGTTGAAAAGTGCGACTTTTATTTAGAACACCTAGTGTAGCCATAAATTTAGAAAAAAAAAGGACAGTTTAGAAAAGAGCTGTCTTCCTCCGCTTATGCCAAAACAGAATTCGTCAATGCTGGTACACAGTTTGACGAAAAGATTTAACCTTGCATGAGTCTCTGTAAGGATAAGAATTACATGTCTTCCTAAAATTCCTAAAGCCAACTTTTAACCCCATACCTCACAGACTGAACTTACCTTGGAGTCTTCAAAGCATAAATGATAGGATTCACCATGCTGTTCAGTTTCATGAGGAAGAACGCGAGGAAGTGAGTCCAGCTACCGCGGCGTCTCATTAGGTTGTGTAATAACATTGGTATCACATTCATACAGAAATACGCCAACACTGTTACACCAATTGTCCTCGCGGTCTTTACGTCGTTTCCGAATCGAATTTTTACGGAGAAGAAAGTCGAAAAACGCTTTCTATGATTACGCACCTTAACACAAATGGCCACTCCTAATATTAGCATTAAAAAGAATGGAACCAAAATTCCAGGGATGATGAAGTGCCTCCCGAAAATTTTCAAGTAGGTCATCCTGTATACCAGCACTGGAGCGTCGCCTAAATCAATATCCAATCCAAGTGTAAACATACCATATGTGTATAAGGCCGCGAGAAGCCATACAAAAAGTACCGCTACCTTGGCTTTTTTCTTTGTTTTCCACGCATAGTAATGTAAGCCGTGCACAATGGCCCCAAAACGGTCCATCGCCTGTGCCGTGAGGTTGAACACGGTAAGGTATACAAACAATACATACCATGTGACCAGTATCCAGGAGATTAAACGACCCTTAAGGAAGGGCACTTTACAAATGTACCACAAGATGAAAAGAGGCATGTTGGTCAGTGCATTGAGAATGTTAACAGCAGCTAAGTTGGCGATGAGGATGTTGGGCACTGTTCTCAAAGTTTTGAATCTTATAAGTAAGAGGCAAATTAAGCCGTTTCCAACTACAGATCCAATCATGACTACAGCAATCATGAAGATATTTGAGATTCTTTGCGAATCACGACATGAATGTAACTGAAAAGTTTCATTCATCGTTTAAGACTGTTCGTGCAGGTCAAAACCTCGCCAACCATAAACTGCAAAGGATGATAACCTCTCCTTCGATCTTCACATCTGAGGTTCCCTTGATTACTTTCGGGATATTTTCTTTCTGATGCTCCCTAAGACCAAGGAATGAGAAAATCAGCGCTCATTGCAGACATTTTTAGTTTTCGACCTTCAAATGTAACGTTTGCTCACAATTAAAAGCTTGAGAAACGGGAAGCGGGCTAAAGGAAGACACGAAGTGTTGTCAACCTTTAAGAATAGGGACCTTAAGCATCGACAACGAAATGGCACGAGGACGACGGGCGAAAGTAAAATTTTCCCACGCGAGCGTTCTGCGCACGTGCGATGTTGTCAAAACGTCGTCCAGCCTTCGTCGACGACTGAATCTGAGCAGGTTTTACGTTCTGGTGAAAACGTAAGTAAACAACTAAACTTTTACACGCTGATAATCATCCATTTCCACCTTTTGGTGTAATGATTGTTAGATGTATTGTTTGCGGACCACCGGAAGTCAAATGTTCAACAGTTTAGCGATTTTTAACAAACTAAAATGACTTTTCTTTCAGAAGCATCCGAAACAATGGCCGGCCACATTTATACAGCTGAGCAAGAACCAGTTCAAAAGAGATGTAAGATTTTCTGTATCTCTTGCCACGCCAGGCAAGCGCATAGCTGTCCTATAGCCTTGCAAAATATTTCAATTTTTTCCGAATCTTTTCCCCTTTTTTAACTACATACAAGGCCTACAAAAATTAACATTTGGTGTCATGCATTTATCAGGTCTTCCATTGCTTAAAAAGCTGGTCACATCCCTGCTTTAAAGCTGGTGGCCTGTACTGTGTACTGTACTGTACTGGGCCACATAGATTTCCGATTAAGCCATTTGGCAAAGCAATGCAATACCCTTTTATGGCCATTGTAAAGAAGTCGCTGATGTTCTCCAGGTCTTGATATAGGCGTAACGGTACCGTCAATAAATCCAAAACAATTGGGCAGTGGGGCTCCCCTGGCTGTCAGAGCATCAACTTAAGTCTGCAGGTTGACAGGGCTGAGGACCTCATGATTCCAGTTTAGTACTCTGTTCCCATGAACATTATACACATAGTCAATCGTTTGATTGGTGATCATGCTAAGAACTGGAACAGCAGCGAGCCTATGGATCATGTCTCTATATCTGCATGGGTATGAAAGCCGCTTTAGCAGCATGTAAAGACCTTCTCATCACAAACAGAGCGCTGACTGCAGGTAACCGTGTTTGGGATTTCCAAAACTTCCTTCAGAATTCGAATATCTAGTTTTCCAAAACGAAACTCTGCGGAACTCTCAGACTCATCAAGCTCTTTCAGGTCAAAAGGTGTGTACGAATCGTACGGAAAGTCGAGGTTTTCGATGCATAGAGGTCGTACAGAACAAATTAATCATCATCGAAAAAGCCATCGTTGTGATTAATTAGAAGCAGATTTCGAACGTTTTTGAAAGCCATAACAAGAGCAACTCGTCAGAGAACCAAAACTCGTCGTCGCCTCAAAACAACACACTGCTTAACTTTCGTTTTTCCCGCCGAGAACGAAACCCTCGACCCAATCCTCCTTGGGTTGCGAACCTCGTCGTCGTGCATTTCGTTGTCGATGCTTAAGGTCCCTAATATAACGCAGAACCTATTACGTTTAATACACAAAGTAACATTCCGGTTTCTTTTCCCAACTACTTGTTTACAGAATATCCATTTTTTTAATAATAAAATTAATAATACGGTAGCTCTTTTAGGCATGATCATCAGGTGTAGAAATTAAATTTACTTTCGCCGAAGCTTCGGTAAAATTTTAATCTTGCTAACGACCCAACAACAATTGTATTTATAACTAGACGGTTTTAATTGTTTGCTTGTAAAAGCATAATAGGTAAATGTATTCTGACCCGCCTTCCAGAACTAAATTATGGAGTACTGAACACCCGCTAAAGCAATCTCGCTGAACTGTAACTGTCAGAATAGTGCATCTCTTTGTTTTGAACAACATGCTTACAACATGACGAAACAGAGAAATTCTCCTCAAAAAAAGAAATTTATCACATGAACTGCGGTGTTATACAAAACGTATTTTTTCACGTGTGTCGAGATATCAGCTGCTGAAACATCACTCGCCTTTGGCGCCCCTCGGTTGATGAATGAACGGCAAAGCCTTTACGATTCTCAATACAAGGTAGTTTGTCGGAACTCTCTTGGATTATAGCGGCTAAAACACCAAAAAATCCTAATCGCTGACAGACAGTGAGGTTCAAACTCTCCTAGAAGGTGAAGAAAACCAAGATAGGATAATAAAAACCGAAAGTTACCTATTCAGTGGCTTTGGTGTTGGCATTTCTAGCCAATGAAAATCGACAACTGAAAGATTTGCCACTGACCGATTTTGGCCGTTTACCTGAAAGACTTCTTATGGACAAAGTCAATAAATAATAATTTTGTGAATCGAGAATTACGACCATTGTTGTTTTTGTAATCATGATTCAACGCATTTTTCCATCTTAAGATTTAGCGCAAACGCACTCTACGATTGTTATTCGGGGATTGTCGATTAATTTATTTTTATTCATTAACGAAGTCAGCTTTTCTTCTCAATAAAGGGCTATTGTTTTTCTAGGATAGACGCAATGATACATGTTTTTGTAATCATGATTCAACGCAGACATGTTTTTGAATCACAATTCAACGCATTTTTCCATCTTAAGAGATACCACCAACGCACTTTACGATTGTTATTCGGGATTGTCGATTCAATTACTTTCATTCATCAATGAGGTCGGCTTTCTTTTTCGGTATAGGGCTATTGTGTTTATATGATAAACAAAATAGTACATGGTTGCTTGTAGATATGGAATTTCTCTTCTCGTGTTCAACCCGACATCTCACTCGTTCGCGGTGCTTACTCATGAACTCTCGAGTTAAACGCTCGAAGAGAAATTCCATATCTACGCGCGCCTGTGTATTATATATTATTCTCTATGTATCATCATATATCCAATTTTACGCGAACGTGCTGAATTTTTCCTCTTAATTCACTCAGTGATGTGCCATGACTAGACTTGAACTTGTTGAGAATGGCTGACGAATTTCTTCTTCCACTTAATGACCTAAGTCAATATAGACAGTTCATAAAAGTCCTTGAGAGCCAAATGTGGTCGATCACCTTTTTCGTTTCCTTGCTTAGTTTGTTTCTGCTTTTTTTTTCTTCCTAATATCGGCTTGTAAATAATACATTTAGTACATTAGATGTAAATGTCTTGAAGGGCAAGCAAATTTTTTTTTTATTGCCAAAAAGAGTTAAACACTTCATTCTCGATGAGATATCCGACTATAATTGAACTAAAATTACCTGATATGGCTCCAGAGGTAGGCTGTTCGCATTGAAAATTCATTTGGATTCGTTTCCCTTTGAACCAAATTACTTTGTCAAAGGGCCTTCTGGTTTTTTCTTCGAATTTCTTACATGATGAATAATTCATGTAAGGTAGGCCCTTGAAAGACGTCTTATTAGGTGTATTTCTGTCAAACATCCAACTCCGTCGCTTTTCAAAGGTTCTCATTAGGTTGGGTTTTTGCTTCCAACTTATCTCGAATTCCCAAAGAGCGAAACAACTCATAGAACAGTTCTCTTATAAAAAAAAGTTTGTGACTAAACAAAGGAAAAACTGTTTTAAAAAATGCACTTTAAATGTTAATTTTTTACTTCTTGGCTTACATGGAATTATTTTTCACTGCAGGTGTTTTGTGCACAACATACGCCAGTCTCAACTGCTCTCGTTCTTTCTTCAAAGAAACGTATTAAATAAGGAAAAATAATAAGGACTTCTTTCTGTAAAATATTTTTCAGTGAATACAATATATATTTTACCTTGCCGTTACATTATTCTGAATTCCTGCTCTTTAGCGTTCCTTGTGCTGCGCAATCGAAAATTCGGGATGGTAAAGATAACATTGAGAAGTTGGCCTCGGGTAAAGTTTAAAACAACGTCATATTAGGCGGACGTCAATAGAAAGTTAAAACTACTCACTCCTGATGCTAACTATGATTAGCACAATTTGGTTTAGAATGTTAGAGCCACATCGTACGGTCGATTCATTTGCGTCAAGGTGGCTTTGTCAAAGCGGCCTTTGTCAATTTGCGTCATGCCATCTGCGTCTAGAGTATTTCTCTACTTAAGTTCTCTATTGTAACATCCCCTAATCATGTCTGAAAACATATTGCTAGTTAACGCTGAGAAAATTTAAGATGTAAAAAAAATTACTTCACTTACTTCATATTTCAACTTTATTCCTACACTTGAACGAAACACTAGACAGCTGCAACCTTAACATGTCCAGTACAAATGTTCTTGTACAACGTCTTCCACCTCAAATTATATGATCATGTGAATTTTTACTCTAGAGGAAGAAACTTAATGACAGAGCGGTTACACAGTTTTAATTTTCTTTTAGAAGTGGCTTTATTTTTCTTCAATGGATAGATTCCAAAACGTAAGGACATCTGCGTGGTTTACAGACAGCTTCATGTTTTGAAATCTTCAAGTGATACGAAGTGCAGGATGAAAGGCAAAGAAGTTACTAGATTTTTTTTGAGAGGTTGACAGCGGAAGACAGTTTATGATTATTCTAGGCATGTGTAAATAAAGCCTGAAAATGAAAATTGCCACCAGCGGGAATTAATATTAATAACGATAGCTGAAGGAAAAAGATGCTACTTCAAGGAAATATTTCATAACCTCAACTTATACGCCCTCGTGGAAATTCTGTGTAAAAGAGAAATAAATATATACTTTATATATATGAGGATGAGGATGAGGATGAGGATGTTGGGAACTGTTCTTAAAGTTCTGAATCTGATAAGTAGGAGGCATGTTATTCCTTTTCCTACTACAGATCCAACCATGACTACAGCATTCACCAAGACTTTCAAGATGCCCAGCAACTCACGACATGAACTCGTTAAACAATCCTGTTTATCCTTTACGTCTGTGCATCTTAAGTAAAACCCGTAAACAAGGAAAGAGTTTCACTCGATCTTCACAACTAAAGTTGTCTTCCCGCAGGCCGGGGAGACAACTTGTGAAGATTAGTATCTGTGCATATGAAGTAAAACCACAAAAGAAATAAACTTCGCTAAGCGACTTTGAACGTACATATTCAGTAAACGTCGAGTTGACGTTTTTAAACTACGCAAAGAGAATTTATCATCAAGATTTTAACAGATGAGATCTGAGTGTGAAACATATCCACTTTCGAAGATAAATTCCTCGTTGTGGATAGATTTTGTAGAAACTCTGTGTAAAAGATAAATGTTACTTTGCTTTTCATGGCTTAGGTAACCTTAGGGAAATTTTAGATTATGGATCAAAAATAAATGTAAACGATGAATTTCGTCAAATATGGGTTTTTCCAATGTCCACGCTAGTGAACTGTATCCTAATAACAATCTCAACCCAATTCTTGTTACATATTCAATAAAAGTCGAGTTGACGTTTTCAAACTATTATTGCGGTACAATGGAACAAAAGTGATACACAAAGAGAATTTATCATCAAAATTTAAACAGATGAGATCTGGGTGTGAAACATATCCACTTTCGAAGATAAATTCCTCGTTGTGGAATTGAGATCCATCCGATTCTTGGAAGCCATCAGTGGCTGGGACTTGCCCAAAGGTTCCTTCAAGAACAGAATAAACGCCTTACGAAACCTGTGGAAAAAAGGACGTGTTTACTTCTTGCCTGGATTTAACAGAAAGTTCTAAAAAAATATGCGGTGAAACAAACTTGATTTGTAGATTCAGTCATTCAAGCCTCTACTAAATTTATATTTGATATGGCCACCAACGATAAAAAGAAACAACAACCTATTGTTATTGTAAAATGAAAGATCAAGAGACAAAGTCAATGTCAAAGTGATGTTACTTTTTTTTTTTTGTATTGCAAATGAAATGGAAACAAGAATAATCACAACATGAATATTTACCGAGGAGTCTTCAGAGAGTAAATGACCGGATTTGCCATACTGTTTAGATGATTGAGAAAGAAAGCGAGGAAATGAGGCCATGAACCGTGAACTTTAGATATGTTGTGTAGCAACATCGGTAATACACCCATGCAGAAAAAAGCAACTACAGTCAAGCCGATCGTCTTTGCTGTCTTCACGTCATTTTTGGTCTGTTTTCCCGTAGAAGAGTACGCCGAAATGCGTCTGCTATGGTTATGCACGGTTCGCCAAATCGTCACTCCCATAACTACCATGATCGTGAAAGGTACAACATACCCTGGAATGATAAAATGCCTTCCAAATTTCTTTAAATAATGTATTCTGTACAGAAGCACTGGGGCGTCACCAAGGTCGATGTCCAGTCCCAAAGTGAACATTCCATACGTATAGGCAGCGGAAGAAATCCACACAAAAAACACTGCTGCTTTCGCCTTGTTGATTGTCTTCCACGAGTGATAATGAATTCCGTGGACAATGGCTCCGAAGCGGTCCATTGTAAGCACCGTCAGATTAAATACGGTGAGGTACATGAAAAGCACGTACCATGTCACTATGAACCAGGAGATTGCACGTCCTTTCAAATACGGAACTTGGTATATGTACCACATGATCAACAGTGGCATGTTGGTCGCTGCGTTTAAAATGTCAATGACAGCCAAGTTTACAATAAGGATATTGGGAACTGTTCGCAAAGTCTTGAACCTGACAAGAAGAAAGCAAATAATGCTGTTCCCAACTATAGAACCAATCATAACGATGGCAATCATGGAAAGGTGTAAGATTTTATGCGTGTCGTAACTAAAACTCTTCCGCGCTGTCTCATTCATGGCTCATTTGCATCCACAGCTCAAATACATGTATAGCCTATCCGGCTGGATGAAAGAAGATGCCAGCATTTACGTCTATGCTCGTGGCTTTGAATGCTGAAAAAGATAACGCACGATTTATGAGCTCTTTAATTAACAGTGTCAATCTACGTCTTTTAGGGTAATCTCCCTGCGAAGTATGGCTGATTGAGAACGAAAAAAATAACAGCAATCACTTTTCATTGAATAATATTGGATGGTGAAGTTGCCCAAATTCCCAGTAGATGCTTCATCGTACAAAATATAGGAAGTAATTTTCGAACTGAATGATTCTGAAAAGAAAAAACGCAAACCCGTATTTACATTTCCTACAAATCTATTAACGTTTTTCATAAAATGTACCCTAATCTAAACTTATCGCTTTCCGCCAACAATTTCCTTCTTCGATGACGCGATACTAACCTTATGAGCCATTTACACCGTAGAGATGCTTCTGATGAACGACGAACGAAAACTTGTTAACCCTTTGTGAACGAAGCCTGACAAAAACTTTACACTAAAACGTACGTTTTCTATTACCTACTTGACGAAAGTTCAACTGCGAATAAAAGCCACCTGAATTTATCTATCTTTCAAAGCGTTTGGGACAATAACGAATACTCTTTATACCATGTCCAATTAATATTCACGGCTCCCATTCATAAAGGTTACATCTAAAATCCGACTGCATGTGGAGATACAAATTCAACAATGAAAAAGGGAAATGATGTAAACTGCATTTGAAATGTTTTGAGATAGCTCTAAGAAACTACATTGCACATGCAAATGAAACGTGGAAATGACCCGAGGGAATCATTTTGAAGTTGCATGTGTCAACTTGATTGATAGGATTTTTATTGTATTTATAGAGACTTTAGCGAACTCCAATTTGCAGCTGCTAACTTGACAGCTGAAATTTGGGAATTCTAAAATAAAAGTGCGTTTCCCTTCTGCGATGAGATTGTTTAAACTTGACTCCTGAACGCAGACTATCTTGGTAAATCAAAAGCGATAACAAAGGATATGACCCAACATCGTAACTAGGATAAAATGACGAGATGAAATACATTATGAACAGCAATAATTGCTGACGTGCTCCTGTCGTGTTTTAAAGAACAAATAATTTAAGATTTAAATTACATAGCCACTTTAGTACTTGTTCGCTGAATAAATTGCTTTCCTTCAATACAATCGCCACAAGACTCTGCCTATTATGCAGAGTATCACGTCTGAAAACTATAG